GTGCATGTGTATATGCATGTGCATGTGTATATGCATGTGTGTGCATGTGTATATGCATGCACATGTGTATCTGCATGTGTGTGTATAAGCATGTGTGTGTGTGCATGTTTGCATGTGCATGCATGTGTATGTGCGTGGTTGGGAGAGATGAGGAATAGCAAACCACCATGGTCAGAACCCTTGGGACCTAGCCCAGAGGGAGTCAGCCTTGGAATGGCTGATCAACCTTCTGCTTCCAAAGCATTGTGGTGCAGCAGAAGGGGCACTGGGCTTGGAGTCATAGACCTGGCATCAAGTCCTCACCGCACCACTGACTTGCTGTGTGGCCTTGGTCCACTGGCTGAGCTTCTCTGGGCCTCCGTGTTCATTCCCATAAAATGGGGTAACAAAGTGACTTAGCCAGCTTTGCAAGGCTGCTGGGAGGCTCACAGATCGCAGGGGTTGTAGGGGATTCCTTATTTAGAGCCTTGGCTGGGGAACCAGCAGTTTTAAGTTGTGGTCTTGGATGGATTTGCAGCCAACTTGCTGCTTAACCTCAGACGGGCCCCTCCCCGTCTCTGGGCCTCAGTTTCTCCATCTATAAAAGTGGGATTGGACTTAGTGACTTGAGGCCCCATCCAGATCCCTGATGCTGACCAGTGAGAAGCCCGGGCATTCCCCCTTCCAGCTGAGGATGCGGCTGCCTGTGGCGAGGCTCCAGGATGAGTTTCCCCAGAGCTGGAAACTTCCTCTTGGCCAAGCCCAAGGTAGCGCCATCCTAGGAGACAGAGGACCCTCTGGGCCTGGGCACTCACTGTGGTGTTGGGGTACATTCTTCAGATTGAGGACTCAAATGGGCTCTCCAGAAAGAGATCCTTGGCAATGACAAAGAGGCCGGACAGCACACAGAAGAAACTGATGAGGTTTGCCATCAGGCATAACTCCTTCTGCAAGCAAGAAGTAAGGTAACGGCTTTTGTTCAAAGGCTAGTGACCCAGGTCCAGGTCCTCCTCCCAGGCCTGCCAGTAGCTTGCTGTGTGGCCTCAGGAACGACTCTGCCTGTCTCTGGGCCTCAGTCTTCTCAACCACAGACCAGCAGCTGAACTACTGATNGACTCTGCCTGTCTCTGGGCCTCAGTCTTCTCAACCACAGACCAGCAGCTGAACTACTGATCACTGAGGAGGTTCCAATCAGCTTTCATGTTCTATGGGGCAAAGGGGAACCCAAGAGCCACAGAGCATTGCAATAAAGAAGGAAGCATCATGGCTGTCACCACCTCAAAGCCACTCTGACCACCCTACATCAGATATGCCAGATGTACCCTTTCCTCCACAGCCAAATCCGCCAGCCTGTCTGCATCTGGAACCTTCTGCTCAGATGCCCTCTGTTGTCCTGAAGGCACATTTCCTGCTCCTAGCAAATCCTTGAGAGCTT